CTCCATGGGGAGATCGTTCCAGAGGGTCGGAGCTGCCACCGAGAAGGCTCTCCTCCGCGTGGTTGCCAGTCGACACTGGCAGGGAATCCAGGAAGAAAACCCGGGTCCTGCCTCTAGAGCGGGGGGGAGGGGGCCCTGGCCCCTTTATGGCTTGTGGACTTCAATTCCCACAATTCCTCAGTCAGCATGGAAGGGGAATAATTCTGGGAGTCCACAAGTCATGAAAGGGCCAAGGTTCTCGGCCCTAGAGACCGGCTGACAAGCAATCATGCTCCATCAGGGGCCAACGGAGAGAAGGCCCTGCCAGCCCTGTGGGTGGGGCAAGGGAAAGTGATGGGCATCTGGGATGGTGGCAGCCAAGTTGCCCCTGGCCTTTAGAGGACCGCATCCCCCTTTGCAGGGGGTGCCAGGAAGAAGAGGACAAGTGGAGCTGACACCACCCAAAGCAAGATGCCAATCCTGGTCACTCCAAGAGTCCCTGGGGGGGTGGGGGAGGCATCAAAAGAAGATCCAGGAGCCTTCGGCCTCTGGACCAAAGATGCAGCTGAGTGCATCTGGCGGACAGAGAGGAAAATGTTCAGAAATGAATGGGTATTTTATTCATCTATCAAATGTGCTGGCCGCCTATCTTACCAAAGGGTAACTCTGCGGAATCGCCAAGAGAATCCTCCGGAATGGGTTAAATAACGATTTTAGGGCTGTTTCCGGGTTGGTTCCATTTTAATTATTTCAGAATTCGTTGTCTTTTAAAGAGCTGCTTGTTTATTCGTCTCAGAGGCCTCACAATTAAAATAAGGCCCACTATAGGACATAAAGTTTAAAATATAAAATGCGAGATTAAAGTAAATTAAACAGCTCTTGCCCAGGAACTAGCAACATGAACTGTGTCCTCCAGTGGACGCGGATAGGGACAAAAAGGGCAGCTACGTGTTGTGGTCTGAATGTCACCACCATCGCAGGGAAGAGAAGCCGCCGGATGGCTCCCCTGGCTTTAAAGAGCTTCCCTGGGTAGAGAGGCAGGCTGGGAGCTGAGATGCTACGAAGCCCCTTGGAGAATCCCAATGGGTCCCAGTTCCTCTCCTTGATCAGTTTCCACCCGTTGTTCCTCGTCTTACCTTCTGGTGCTCTGGAGAATAGCTTGACTCCCTCTTCTTTGTGGCAGCCCCTCATAGACTGGAAGGCTGCTCTCGTGTCTCCCCTATTCCATGTTTTCCTTCCATGCAACATGGAAGGAGGGGGGGGGCTCCTAGCTGAGGACACGGCTGCTCCTGGGAGCTCCAGGTCCTGCTAAAACTCAGCAGAGACCAGGCTGGGCCAGGCCTGACTCCGTTTCTGCGCTTGTTCACTTATCAGCTTTCAGGGCTAACGGCTCCAGTGGCCACATTCTCACAGCAGCTAAACCAGGTCACCGAAAGACATTCTGGCTGCAGCTGCATTGTCCGTGAAGCCGGTTGGAGCCCATTCGGTATTTTGCAGCTCGACAGGATGTGCGTATGCAAAACCCAAGTTGGTTAAGTATGTTGTGCGAATCCAGCCCGGATCAACACCCTAGAGAGATGCACATCACAAACAAAAGGAGACAACCCCAGAGGCGTGGCTGTGACAGAATCAGAGCCGGGAGGCACCTTAGAGACCTTCTAGTCCAACCCCCTCCCCCTCCGGCAGGAAACCTGATGCCATTCAGGACCGAGGCTGCCCAATCTCTTCTTTAAAACCCCCATCAACTCCAGGGACATCCTAAATACATGCCAGGTGCCAAGCCCCCAAATTCTGGAGACACGATGTGGGGATGCCCTGATGCTGGTAAGTGCGAGATGGGCGACATATAAATGGAATCAAGAAAGAAGCCAAAGGCCTGGGTCTCCTCAGTGAAACGGGGTCTCACCAACGCAACAGAGTGGTGGGGGTGCTCCATCCTCTCCGGATCTCCTCTTGGCCGATGATGCCTCTCTGTGGGCGGAATGAGATGGCCTCTGCAGAGGGGGCCCCACACAGGTCCACCCCACTGCACGCATCTCTTTGGCAAACCCCATGGGGAGACCCTCCCAGGGTCGGAGCAGGACCTCTGTGGCGCTGGGACAGGAGGGGCTGCGATGAGCACCTGAAGCTCTCCGGCTCCTTCTGGCCCTGCTTCTCTCCTTCTTCCTTGTTGCCCCAGGCCCTCTCTGAATCTAACCCATGAGGCTCCTTCTCACCATGGGTACATTCAGACATGCTCTGGGGTAACAAAGTAGCAGGACCCTGCTTCTTGTTATGCCCCTGTGGCCAGTAAAATAAAACATAGAGTGGCCCTGATTGATTGATTGGTTGATTGATTGAAAAGATGGCCATCCAGCTGACCAGCAACTTACAAGGGGGCAAGGCAATAAAACAGCCACAGCACCCAAGGAGATAAAAATGAAAAATATCAACATCCCAGTAAGTTCACCATTTGCCCTGCTGGGAAAAACCAGATTTTTCAAAGTCTTTAGGAAAAGAGCAGAAAGGTCAAGATTCTGCTCCAAGGGGCAGGGATCCACTTGGGATCCACCAGGGATCTAGCAATGTCTCTCCCCTTCCTGGGGTCCTGAGTAGCTCCTCACAGAGAAAGCTCTTGGCATTCCTGGCTGCCCTCTTCATGGCTCAAGCACAAGAGAAGCAGAGAAGCTGGACGAAAGACTGCTACTGAGGGTCCCTTAAATGTGCTCTCGGCCCATACAGGTGTACTGTAGGGATGTACATGTACCTATATACACGTATGCATCCCCTACAGGCCACGACTGACCAGGTTATGTCTTTCCAAGTGTCCTGGATTCTGGAAAGAGGGTATGAGAATCTCCCCCTTCATCCCTGAGTCCCCAGTAAAGTGCCCACGGATGGTCATGGCCAGAGCCATTTCTCTCCTTACTCTGCCCCCCCCCAAAGAGAAAAAGGCCAAAGACAACCCAAAGCTCCTCCCATCTTGTGGCACCCATTTCTCTTTCAGGGGCACCATGGAACCCACCCCCTCAATTGTATTCCTGCCTCCAAAATACACACACACACACACACTCGGTGGCCCCTCCAGGTGCCTGGTGACGGGCAGTTGGCCAAGGCCAGAGCCCTGAGAGTTAAGGAGGCCAGGAAGCGCCATGCCAGCTCCATCCTGGGAGGGGCGCAGTGGGGCGGCTCAGCCCAGGTCCCTCTACTTCCCAAAGACCTGCAGAAGACCCCACCACCCTGGGCTTCATCTCATTCCCCTCCCCCCACCTCTCCCTTTGTGCCGAAGCAGACCTCCAGGATGCTCATCCAGAAGAGATCCCAGAAGCAGCCAAGGAGGGCCGGATTCCCCTGACAACATTCCTGCCCTCTCCATGGATCCATTTAACTGACTCCCAGCCTAAAGCGTCCCCCCCACAGCAAGCTCAGCGCTTGGCCTGCTGCCCCTCCGAAGGAGGGTCAGGATAAGCGCCCCCCACCAGAGGCCCAAACTCCCCACTGGGCGGGGAAGGACGAAGGGCGCCCAAGCAAGAGCCGAGGGGGCTGCCGCGGGCGGGGTCCGGCTTCTCCGAGGCCGCTCCAGAGCCGCCGAGTGGTGGGCAATTGCTTCATGAAAGGAAGGGCGGCCTGATAGGTGCCGACGAAGCGGCACCCCGAAAGCCCCGAAATGCCTCCGCTGCTGCGGCCTCCAGGCGGGAGGAGAAGCGGCTTCGCCCTTTATCTGGGCCGAGCGCCGCCGCCCCACACCTCCACCCCGACGGCAAGGGAGGGGGGCAGGGAGGGTCCCCGGGGGAGCGGTCACGCGCAGCGGTCTTGGAAGGGCAGGCAGGGAGCGGCCAGCGGCCCCCTTGGCTGCCGGGAGGAGGGGTCCCAGGAGCGGACGGGGCGTCCGAGGGCAAGCGGGCAGGCGCGTCCAGGGCCCGGCTGTGGCGCGAGGCCGGCGGGGGCCAGGCCCAGCTCCTCCGAGGAGCCGCCCAACGCTCAGCCAGCGGAACCTCCTCGGCCGCCGCTCCCAGGCCCAGCTTTCCCGCCCGGGTCGCGGATGTGCCCCGAGGAGCCTCTCGGAGCCGCGTCGGCCGGCCTCACTCCCTCCCAGCAGCCCCGGCCTTCCAGGCTCAGCCCTTCCGCGGAGGCCGGCGGCGGGGGCAGTGGGGGCGGCGGCGGCGGAGGCGCCTTACCTGCAACTGGGCGGCGAGAGCGAGTGGAAGGTGGAGAGCGAGAACATCTCCGCCCGATCCGCCATCTTCTCCGGCCGCAGCGCAGCGCACCGCCGCGCAGCCGAGCCCAGCCGAGGCGAGCGAGAGGCGAGGTGCCGCGGGCGAGGCGAGACGAGGGGCGGCGAAGCCCGGCCGGCTGGGGCGGCGGCGGCGGCGGCGGCGGGTCTTCACTGCGGATGCTGCCGGGAGAGGGTGTCGAGAGCCGCAGCTGCCATGGCGCTGGCGCTTCCTCCGGCCGGGCCCGGGTAAACAGCGCGGGAGGGGGGTCTGCGCCTGCCCTGGCTGCGGCGGGGGGAGCGGGCGGGCGGGCGGGGGGCGCAGCCAAAACCCACCAGCCCGGCGTGCTCCCGCGCCGGGCGGCGGGG